GTACGTGATTGTGTATTGTTTGGGGGAACAATTAAATAGATACTATAATTCAGTAGAATGTTGGTACTTACATGCACTAATTGACCACAATGGCATCGTGCAATCTCCGGAATAGAATCGAACCCCCTCCCCTGGGTATAGTAAAGACACTATCGCAACAGCCCTAAAGGGGACAGAAGCGATAAAGAGCCACGCGACTGCAGTCAGGGTTGCCAATCAATAAATTTATTATTTATTCAAATTTGCCATAAACAAATTTAAATAAAACATTTTTTTTCAATTTCTCTCTATTACCTTTCAATGTTGATAAACTGTATTTGGTGAAACAAATTTTATACTTTGATCAAGTTTTGTAAATGGTCCCAAACATATAATAATAAATTTCAGGACATCCTCTCCCAAAGTAAGCAACCTAAATCTTGTGTGAGTACTAAATAACTGATAAATACATAGATTTCTTTCGTAAATACATACTTATTATACATAGGAAACATCCAGACCGATACAAACAATCATACACATGAACCAATTACTTTACTGAATCGGCAAGATTTCTTTGGAATTCATTATTACCTCCTTCGTTATTGTCTGCTAAAATCTTCGCAAACGGTACTGGTGGTTCACCTCGGAAAACGAATATCCAACAGCAAATAATTAATTTATAATACTAGCAAAGATTAATGTAAGAAAATTTAATAGGTATAATTTAAAAGTGTATTTAATATTTCATAAACAAATCCATTTTGTAGACAACCCTAGCACCCTACTGACCCTCGAAGCAGATAAGCCGTGAAGCGAACGCATTAAGAAAATTGCAAGAGGCTTACAGTGAAGAACAGATAATACTCTAAATCTCCACCTTAATTCACTGATCGCATCAAATCAAGATGTTTTGACGACCCTGGGTGCCTGTTTTAAAAGTAATATTTTAAATTGTAATATTGTAATGCATTTGTTATTTTTGACGGCCCTGGGTGCCTGTATCTAATTTTTAGACTGTAATACGTATAAGTCGTTTATTGTTGTTGCCTGTGCCTGCAGTGGTGGCATTATAAAAAAAAAATCCTGTTTCAAATTTTGTTTAATCGAGTACACGTACTTACATGAGTAAATTTTCACAAAAATATCATTTAAAAAAATTCCATATAGGTGCTATATATTACTTTTGGAATGTTTATTGTTTAAAAATATTATCATTAGGATAGATTTCATATTTTTATTGTAAAAGATAGGCTAAAAGAAACGACCACCTAGGTCCTCAAGTTTCTCTGAGCTTTAAAGTCGAGACCATCGGAAGTAAAGCATTTGAGCACACCGCTTTACTTCCGATGGGATGGAGTTTGATTCCTCGCACGGTGCAAAACTTTATAATTATGAGTATGATTGTATGCATCAGTCTGGTTGTTTTCTATGTATATTATGCAAAAAAGATTTATTTAAGTATTTATGTCACTTGCCTAGTACCCATAACACAAGCTCTTTTCCTTGGGACTAGATAACGCTGAATTGCCCAAGGATAAATAAATAATTTAAAAAATTACGCGAAGTGTCATTACATCGCAATGATAATATAGCAAAGCATGATGTCACAAATTCATTTTGTGATGTCCGTACATCTTATATGTATATAATCCATGGTGTCCTCTTTCCCCCTGGTGGACCACCAGCTTGTTTTCTAATCCATGTTTAAATTCCATAAAAGAATCCATTTTTCATTATTCTTCTGAACCTTGAACTATGCAATTACATTTATACACATATATTTATGGTATACATGTATATATTTACGCAAATCCGTCTTGTATTACGTTTGTACATAGATTAATAAACACAGATATGGCAATATGGCGGTACTGGTACTTTACAATGATATCATCTTGCGAAGGTGAATGGCTACGTCATCGTACCACACGCCCGTATCGTGACGTATCATTGCAACAAGATGCATCTCCGCTTGTTTATCTCATAGACAACAGAAGATTTTTTTCTATCAATAAATTGATTAATGTAGAACTAATATACCGTGGGTACTATTGTAGATAAGGGATTCATTCATTCCTAGTTTTTTTGGATATCTCTAATGCTGTTGGCCGCAGCTGGCCTATACAGCTTCACGGGACGATAGGGGGCGAGTGCAGTACACTCCAAACCCGTAAAAGGACGTATGGTGCGGCTGCAGGCGAACTGCCACCTGATTTTATTCGTAATTTAATTGTTGCGCTTTTGTCAGTGTAGTTGTTGACTTTTCCCACGATTTTCCATCAATCTCTTTAGTTATGACATTATATGAGACGACTCCAACTTTTGTCCTTGTTATAGCTGTATCTTGGTCTTTCCCTTCTCCTCTTACCTTTTATTTTTATTATAATTGTTAGAAAAAAAGCATAAAATTCGAAATTCAAATTTCTTCATTTAGGTTACACAATATATAGTTGTTAATTAAATGGATAATCATAAAAATGCTTAAACTTTACGCTTCACACTTTATATATTTAAAGTAAAAATATCAAGAATGCCATTTCTTTTTTCGAATGGCTCCACTGAAAATCATCGCTACTGTGGCACGCTATAGGCCTTTCAGCTGCGCAATATTAACTTTTAAGTTTTTGTTTATTCTGCTTTACTTTTATACTCTGTATTATGCTATGCTGAATAAATGATGATGATTATTATTATTATTAAAAAACTTCTCTTCATGAATAGCTCTGTCTCACATTCCAGTTGGTTCACCTGGTGTGGTACCATTGTTTTTATATGTACATCAGTTGCACCATCAGAAATAAGACAACACACTTCCGGCCGTTTGCATATGAACGCTACATTACTCTCTTTTTAATTTACACAAGGCATATATCAATCCGAATGTGATAGTAAAATAATAAAATTAATTAATTTACAAAATGTCCAGATAAACAATTAAATTTTAATGTTTAATTTTTAATTTATTTTACGGTAGATGCCGTACCTGTGATATGTTTACTGTCTAACGTATTTTAGATGATAAACAGCTTGCTATGTAAGCTTCAAATTCAAATTCAAAAATCATTTATTCATGTAGGACATTTTAGCCGTTTTTGGACGTCAAATTTTTATGAACTTCAGTTGGAGAGGTAAAAACTAACAGTGAATTAACAGGGTAAGTAGACGCATATAGTACATCTTTTTCTTCTGGTAGGCAACGTATGAGAGTTACCGTGGGCTTCATATGATGATGTCCTTCATGCCTAAACAGACCACAGTTACCATTACCACATATAAGATAATTAGCATCATGTAGGCAGTCAGCTTGTCATTCCAATGAATAAATAAATTTCAACCAAACGTGATTAAAACCACCACATGTTTTTATTTACAGATAAACTAAAGGTAAACTACTGTTGACGTTAAAGAAAAACGAATCAGAAATGAATGAGAACGGTGACCTTCAGAATAAAAATAGCTTTTCGCCGCTTTTGGCCTGATACGACACACGTTGAAATGACCAACTCACGACAGCAGTCATTAACCGCCTCATAAACCAACCTTATCGTTCGAACTGCACCAGGTAGAGTATTATATTCTACAGAACTATATAGTCCTCGTGGAATATAACTTTAATTCTAAAATAAAAGATTTTTTCTAAAATAAAAGTAGACTAAGTTACTCCCTATTAAATTAGCTCCCTGCCAAAAAAATTCCTATCAAAATCGGTCCAGCCATTTCAGAAATTATTATTTTGGTGTATGTACCGTATTCATTTTCATATGCACATAGTAAAAAACGGTTATTTCAATATTACAAACAGACACTCCAATTTTTTCTATATGTATAGATAAAAAATGCATTAAATCAATAAAAAAAAAACAACTACTATGTATTTGACACACGCAGAAGAATACTTTTGACAGTAGAAGCTTACTAATATTTTAACTTATAATTTAAATAACTTATGATCAAAAATCGAGCATTGGACTAATATAATTATAAAGTACGAAAAAGTACCTACAGGTACAACAGGAACAGCTAATGTGATATTAATTCACAAAATTATAAAAGAACATTTTTAAAATCGTATTTTATTGTCAAAAACTATACTTTTATGTGTGTAAAATACATAGTAATGTGTGTAATGTTTTTTTATTGTATTTTTTATGCATAATTAAAAATATATATTAGTATTCAGCACTTCTTCACTATGTAAACCATAAATGTGCGAAATTTCATACCTCCATCCACGCAATTTTCGTAAAAAGGGGTTCAAAGGTTTTATTTCACGTATTGATATAATACTACTACCGTAACAAATTTTCGTCACAACGTAGTGCTTCAATAATTTAAAAATAAAAATATGTCCAATACAATTCCATTACAATCGCAGCTGATTAATCCAACAAAAAATGATGATACGAAATATGACAAATTTCGTATGAAACCAATACTGGCAAACCAAATTTTATGAACTGAGAAAAATATTCATTCAAATTGGTTGGTACACTTAGCTCAAGCTTACACACATTCATAAGTATTATTAGTTTATATTATAAAACCAACAGTTCTATATTATAACTCCAATCTATAAAATCAACAGTGCATTTATAGAGAGAGAGCCAAGAACACAGATTAAACCAAAGAAGAAAACAAAATGTCGTGCTATGGTTAATTAATATAAACACAAACACACAAATGAACGCCCAAATCGAATTCGTTTTAGGAAAAAAAAAGTAATAAATAAAAAATCAGCATTAAAAAATCGTTATATTGATAATGTTCTAAATATGAAAATAAATAATACGTTTGTAAAAAATGACATTGAATAATAAATTAACATAAAACCTCAACTACATATGCAGAAAAAGATTTTAAAATAAACAGTCGTTGTTAAAAAATTAGGGATTAAAATTAATTAATTAATTAAAACTACTGTACTTTTTTAATATAGTCAAAATTCTTGGTTTACAGCAACACAATCATATTCAAAGGAGATATAAATCGAGTGTGGCAGCACGAGTCAGTCAGTGCGTCGCGCGTGCACCAGTGATACGTTATGGAGTTCGCGAGCTTGTTTGTGTGTCTGTTTTTTGTGTTGTCTACTAAACAAATACTAGGTGGGTACAACATTCATTGGAATTATAACATACTAGCTGTGCCCGCGGTTTCCCTCGCGTGAAAGTTATTGTTATTCTGATGTATATGCTGTATTACTGTAAAGTTGCATCGCAATCCGTTCAGTAGTTTTTGCGTGAAAGAATAACAAACATCCATCCATACTCACAAACTTTTGCGTTTATAATATTAATAAGATTAATATTACAACTGTAATATAAATTCATATTTATGTCATTTACGGCGGCTAAGTTGGTGTAGCGGTTTAGCACACCGCTTTAATTACAATTGACGCAGGTTCGATTCCTCGCACAATACAAACATTTATATTTATAAGTATGATTATTTATCGGTCTGGGTATTTTCTATGTATATTATGTATGTATTTAAAAAAAAATATTTAAGTATTTCTATCAGTTATTTATAGTAGTACATATAACACTAGCTCTGCTGAGCTTGGTACTAAATGAACTTGACAGCGCCCTGGAATAATATTATTATTTATATTTTAATAAAAAAATGTGATATTAAAAATTTTAAAATAAAAGAATTAAAACATGCATCTCTAAAACACCCCTGATTACGTTTCCCATTATTCCATCGAAGAAATATTACGAGTTCTCAATTACGAAGTAAATTTTTTGTATATAGTCACTATTCAAATTTACCGGTTACATCTATAAAAAAAAACAAAATACACTAGTCACTTGTTATCCTTTTTAAATTGCAACAAAATACATCACCATAATTTTGCTGGCTACTTCCTTGTTTGGTGCTAGTTCTTCTGATACTTTTATACCATACTTGTTTCGCGTTATCTCCGGTGTTAAACTCAACGTTAAAAGATCCTGCTGGACGAGTATTATCCTGGTTGTTTGTGAACGTCCTCTGTTCCGCTTGCCTTCGACAATGGCCATCACTTTTCTGGTCACTTAGTCTTCATTTCGCATTACGTATCTCATAATAAATAAAATACATATGAGTAAATATTTTACAAAAACTGCTCAAGCAAGCAAACTGTTAGACACCTTTTATTGTAATGGCTAATCAGAAATGTCTTTATATTCTAAAGTTTGTATTTAAATTTATTGTTATGTTTTCAACTTTCTGTTCACTTCACTTAATTTATTATTGTAATCATACAAATGTTTAGAAATTAATATTTTTGCTCTTGTATATAATGAATAGTATAAATAAAAAGTATATTCTATCTATCTTTCTATCTGAAACTTCTTACTCTGAATATTTGTCTTATATTGCTAGATAAATAAAACTACAATAAATATTTCAAATAAAATATTATTCACAGTATTTCAAGAGAAAATATTTTGAGACACTATTCTTCTTTAATATCAGTTCCCAGTGATTTGTTATTAATGTATTTGTTATCTGAAAATTGTTTTAAATGTCTGTACGGTTTTGTTAATTTCGCAATCATCGTATACAATTAACTACGTCATATTGCAATATTACTGCATATTGGTATTATCAAAAAGGGCACCCGCCATTTAATGAGTTCGGTTTGTCAGAATATTAATTAATAATTAATTCTTATATTATAGGTTTAATAACGATTTCTTCATGGAATTATTTATATGAAATGGAAAACATGCAGACCACCTGTTAGTAAGCGGTAACAGTCACTCGTATACAACTAGTTACCCGCTCCGTCTTCGCACGGGCTTACAATTATTATAGATATTAACTTTCTTCTTCAATCACTCCATCTATTGCTAAAACTGCATTAAAATCCATTGCGTAGTTTAAAAAATCTAAGCAATGATACAATGGAAACGACTTCATTTTATACTTTGTAAAAAATCCTCGCTACGGCTAATGACGCCTGCAATACCACTCACATGTTACCATTCTGGAGGACTATGTTGACTATGTATAAGGAAGATGTCCTGCTTCTCATCCAGTAATTACACTGCCTAATTTCAGCCCACGATTGAAAAATGGATTACAAAGTAAGCTATTAGGGGGCTGAAATAGGTGAGACAAATTTCACTGCCTAATCTCACCCTTCGATTGAAAAATGGATTACAAAGTAAGCTATTAGGGGGCTGAAATAGGTGAGACCAATTTCACTGCCTAATCTCACCCTTCGATTGAATAATGGATTACAAAGTAAGCTATTTGGGGGCTGAAATAGGTGAGACCAATTTCACTGCCTAATCTCACCCTTCGATTGAATAATGGATTACAAAGTAAGCTATTTGGGGGCTGAAATAGGTGAGACCAATTTCACTGCCTAGACTCTCCCTCCGATAGAAAAAGGGATTACACAGGAAGCTATTAGGGGGCTGAACTAGGTGAGACAAATTTCACTGCCTAGTCTCACCCTTCGATTGAAAAATGGATTACAAAGTAAGCTATTTGGGGGCTGAAATAGATGATACCAATTTCACTGCCTAATTTCAGCCCACGATTGAAAAATGGATTACAAAGTAAGCTATTAGGGGGCTGAAATAGGTGAGACAAATTTCACTGCCTAATCTCACCCTTCGATTGAATAATGGATTACAAAGTAAGCTATTTGGGGGCTGAAATAGGTGAGACAAATTTCACTGCCTAATCTCACCCTTCGATTGAATAATGGATTACAAAGTAAGCTATTTGGGGGCTGAAATAGGTGAGACAAATTTCACTGCCTAGTCTCACCCTTCGATTGAAAAATGGATTACAAAGTAAGCTATTTGGGGGCTGAAATAGATGATACCAATTTCACTGCCTAATTTCAGCCCACGATTGAAAAATGGATTACAAAGTAAGCTATTTGGGGGCTGAAATAGGTGAGACAAATTTCACTGCCTAATCTCACCCTTCGATTGAATAATGGATTACAAAGTAAGCTATTTGGGGGCTGAAATAGGTGAGACAAATTTCACTGCCTAATCTCACCCTTCGATTGAATAATGGATTACAAAGTAAGCTATTTGGGGGCTGAAATAGGTGAGACAAATTTCACTGCCTAGTCTCACCCTTCGATTGAAAAATGGATTAAAAAGTAATCTATTAGGGGGCTGAAATAGGTGAGACAAATTTAACTGACTAGTCTCACCCATCGATTGAAAAATGGATTACAAAGTAAGCTATTTGGGGGCTGAAATAGGTGAGACAAATTTCACTGCCTAATCTCACCCTTCGATTGAATAATGGATTACAAAGTAAGCTATTTGGGGGCTGAAATAGGTGAGACAAATTTCACTGCCTAATCTCACCCTTCGATTGAATAATGGATTACAAAGTAAGCTATTTGGGGGCTGAAATAGGTGAGACAAATTTCACTGCCTAGTCTCACCCTTCGATTGAAAAATGGATTACAAAGTAAGCTATTTGGGGGCTGAAATAGATGATACCAATTTCACTGCCTAATTTCAGCCCACGATTGAAAAATGGATTACAAAGTAAGCTATTAGGGGGCTGAAATAGGTGAGACAAATTTCACTGCCTAGTCTCACCCTTCGATTGAAAAATGGATTACAAAGTAAGCTATTAGGGGGCTGAAATAGGTGAGACAAATTTCACTGCCTAGTCTCACCCTTCGATTGAAAAATGGATTACAAAGTAAGCTATTAGGGGGCTGAAATAGGTGAGACAAATTTCACTGCCTAATCTCACCCTTCGATTGAATAATGGATTACAAAGTAAGCTATTTGGGGGCTGAAATAGGTGAGACAAATTTCACTGCCTAATCTCACCCTTCGATTGAATAATGGATTACAAAGTAAGCTATTTGGGGGCTGAAATAGGTGAGACAAATTTCACTGCCTAGTCTCACCCTTCGATTGAAAAATGGATTACAAAGTAAGCTATTAGGGGGCTGAAATAGGTGAGACAAATTTCACTGCCTAGTCTCACCCTTCGATTGAAAAATGGATTACAAAGTAAGCTATTAGGGGGCTGAAATAGGTGAGACAAATTTCACTGCCTAATCTCACCCTTCGATTGAATAATGGATTACAAAGTAAGCTATTTGGGGGCTGAAATAGGTGAGACAAATTTCACTGCCTAGTCTCACCCTTCGATTGAAAAATGGATTACAAACTAAGCTATTAGGGGGCTGAAATAGGTGAGACCAATTTCACTGCCTAATCTCACCCTTCGATTGAAAAATGGATTACAAAGTAAGCTATTAGGGGGCTGAAATAGGTGAGACAAATTTCACTGCCTAGTCTCACCCTTCGATTGAAAAATGGATTACAAAGTAAGCTATTAGGGGGCTGAAATAGGTGAGATATAGACTGTAAAAAGTCGTCTGCGTGGCTGGTATAGTAAACTTCCGACAGCTTGTAACGTCGCCCCGCTAGGCACATGCCTAGTTTGACTTCATAGAAGTGTCCACGCATTAAAATTATGTCGATATACTTCCTTCAGTATTCGTTCTATCTTTATTCAAAGACCTTCGTTTAAGGCAGACGCCTTCAACGAAGCGCGACAGCAATTTTTTCAGACGAAATTTTGCCGATAAAATAATCTTCCATTTTTTTCGGGTGTTGTAACCCGTCATTACATAAAATTTTTTTTTTTTTTCGTTTTGTGTCATATACATTTTTCAAACTGTTATACTGTCTTGGATTGTTCATACAAATGAGTTAAAGATGGGTACTTTTACTTTATTTTCACCAATGCTGATAATCTAATTTTACATTTACGCGAAATATAAACGAAAATTGTTCACAAAAATCTGATTAATATGAAACGTTCATAATAGTTTCCTTGTCTTATGGACAGAATTTCGTCAAGTTTTTTTCTTTATTTTTTTTTTCTTTTCATCAAGTTTAATTAAACTTGATGAAAAAACCCCAAAAAAAATTTGCATATTTTATTTAAAGAGAGATCGAAGACTTATGGATAATTCGCCTGTGATAGACCGTCAAATCGATACGATTAAACATCGCTATCAAATACCATCCCATCGATCCCCAAGCAATTCAAACGGATATACAAATTACGACAACCTGAGCCTATATTCGAAACTCACGGTGTTCACAGACTACAATCGCATCCGTCAAGCAGGAGTTGGCTGTCACCCGCTCCATAAGTCCCTCCGCGGGTTTGGAGTGCCAACTGCACCCGTTCCTTATCATTCGGTGAAGCTGTAAAAGCCAGCTGCGGCCAACAGCATTAGAATAGCATGTAAAAAAAAACATTATACGTTGCATAAACTCTATGCGGCGTGACGTGGACGCAATAGGACCGGTCTTGTGATATGACCAACGGGTTTTATACTAATTAGCATCAATTGTATAAGTTTTGTTGCATATCAACTGTATCCTTTATTGTGTCTTGATGATATGGTATTGTTAACTACCGCACCTTATATCATGTTTGTTTGTAGGTCACAAGAGGTAGGTAACTTTTCCTTTATTCTGTGTCCAGAAATGTTTTGTTGTAAATTCTGTTAAAACTTAAATTGAAGTTACAAAATTACCTTTATTTGTTTTCTTTACTTAACAGTCTCATGTTACTAACTGTATAGTTTTTTATAGATGTAATATTTTTTAAATACAGTAATGCACTTTCGGAATATATTCATAGGAAACTAATAATAAAAAAAGAAACTTAGTACAGCATCTATAGGAGGCATTTGATTACAAGAATAATCTTCGAAAACAGTCAGAATTGGTAAACAGGTAACAGGTATTTCTTCGTAAATGAGTACAATCGATTTGTTTACTAAACAAGAACTGTGCGTTTGTCTGTCGCACTAATTGTATTTAGGTGTTAGATTTCAATACGTGTGAAATGCATCGCAGACCAAGAATTACTGTTTCCACAATTTGCTTGGTGTAGATTATTTTTAATTCAGTGGAAATAAAAAAACATTAACTATTTGGTTTGTGGTGTATGTTTTCATCACCGGGGAGTCAGTTATATATAGAAACTGACACTAAGTTGTTTTTTATCAATTTCTATTGGTGAAGTTAATTTTCGGTCAGATGTGTACTCAAATCTTACGGTTTAAGCTAATCCACTAGATCTCTACGGTGTCTAACTAAGAAATACCATTTATTTTTACAGGACAGGTAGGGTCATTATGCCGCAGTAACGAGAGGCTGCTGACGTGTGGGGGTTGTCAGAAAACCTGCGTAGATCCCGTGCCTCGGTGCGAGGGTATTTGCCGAACTGGATGCTACTGCGAAGAAGGGGATGTTAGAAATGCTACCGGACATTGCATTAAATTAGCCGATTGTCCTCCCGTTGGTAAATATTCATAGTATTTCACATTATTATATCGCGGACGTTGACAGCTACAGTCTCCTACGGGATGTAGGAGACTGAAGCTGTCAACGAATCAATGCGAGGCGAGACGCTGTAACGAACGAGCTTTAATCACCCATAAGAAGACTTCCGGATGAAACCGAAACAAAAGCGAAACACAAAAACATAGTACCTGTGTTCATTAAATTCCCGTGCATATTTATAAAATAGTAAATATTCATATCACTGCTATAAAACTCTCCGACTAAAATAGTAGCAGACAAGAGTTGGCCTTTAACTGGTCCTGAAGTCTGTAGGATTACCTGATATGTGGTAATCGTCATGGCTGTAACCTGTAATTTCACTGCAAAATTTCATACCCTACAAATGGAAACACATTTTACAACACATCTTGATCGCCGAGCAGTCAACACCCGGCTTCCAAGCTATATCCATTATTTATTTAATGCCTGATGATGCGTCGTTCAGAACCGAAACACGAGTCGTAATATGGGTGTAGACTCAATAACGGTCGAAATTTTGACACCAATAAAGAATATCGTAATGCCTCCAGTAGAGGTGGTCAGATTTGCGAACTGAATATTTATGGTCTCGCACATGTTAATGCTAATTGTTGCGGAATTAAATAAAATATCCAATAATCTTACAAACCGAGACGCTTGACGGGTGAAAGAGATGATACTGAGGTACTAGGTCTGCTTACTTTAAAAAAAGAATAGAATAGAATAGCAACATTCTGATAATCTCGTGATTAATCATAACTGAACTTGTCCCAAGATATATGCTACGATTAATCGCGAGATTATACGACGCAGTGTATATTATGCTGAGTTATTATAATTATTTCTTTTTACGTTTTCAGTATACAAAACAAATCCAGACGATGTGGAATGTCCACTGAACGAAGAGTATCGCTTGTGCGAGTCATGCAATAAATCGTGCGACAATCCGAACCCAATTTGTCCAGCACAGTGTTCCAGAGGCTGCTTTTGTAAAGAGGGTCTGGTGAGGGACAGAGATGGGAAATGTGTGAAATATAACCGATGTTCGAAGTTCACACAAATTGAAGGTAGATTAAATAACTATTTATGTAACCATCGCCTATATACTACATGTATATGAACAGCACTACGGCCATCACGTCATTCGTTTTTACGAGTGTCTAATGATAACGTGATGGCCACTCATGCGTTGTCATTCCGGAGGTCTAATATGTCTTATCCTGTAATTCCACTACGTTATTTTACTTTCCAACCGAATTACATCTAGAAATGAAAGCTGCTTGGAGGCTGAAATGAGTGACACTTAGGTACCCTAGCAGATGACTTTAATAGACAAACCATAAACTTTGGTGAGCTACTATTTACTTACTGTAAAATAATTATTTTTGAAGCAAATTTGGTTACGATGTGGGGATCTTTGCAATCACATATTTTATCCCATATCCCAAAAAAAAACAAACGAAATCTAATAGAAGACAGATAGAACCTAATAAAATAAGTATAAGTTACTTTTTTTGTAAACTGCCAGTAGTATTCCTAGATTAGTAAGTTTAAAATTAGTGAATCTCCAACGCTGTGAAAGAAATATACGCTTTTAAACTGAATGTAGAAAAATCTATTACAATGATATTGTAACAATCATAAAATTGCATAGCAAAAGCTTTAAAACTACATCCGCATTGTTCCAGCAAATAATATAACGGTAATTGACAAGCACAACTGCGCTCCGCACCAAGTGTACAAACTTTGTGAGAACTGTGAGAAGACTTGCAACAACCCTAATCCCAAATGTCCAGCACAGTGCAGTAAAGGCTGCTTCTGTGACGACGGCTTCTACAAAACACGAAATGGTAGCTGTGTCAAACTTCAGGACTGCCCTGCAGGTAAAGTTACTAAGAAATAAATCATTTATTAATTACTAGCTTTTGTTCGCGGCTTCGCTCGCGTACATTATCCCCTTAGGGGTGGAATTTAACAAAATCCTTTCTTAGGGGATGCCTACGTCATAGTAGCTTTATGCATGCAAAATGCCTGATCGGTTTAAAAGTGACAAAATTTCATACAAACTTTCATCCCATATTGTATCCGTTTGGGGGTAGAATTAATCAAAATCCTTTCTTAGCGGGTGCCTACGTCATAACATCTACCTGCATGCCAAATTTTAAACCGATCCGTCCAGTGGTTTGGGCTGTGCGTTGATAGATTACTACGTCCAGTCACATTTGAGTTATATATATTTAGATATTATATTCCGCAATGCAAGTCTTGTGATACAGGCATACTTTCTTCTGTTTTTATGACAAGACAGATTCTGAACCACGGCAGTGGCGATTTATTTATATATATCTATATAATTAGTGTCCACGAATACATCCTCGTGTGTGCTCTATAATTTCTTTAGCCTATATGTTGACAGACATGTAACCAAAAATTCTATGAAAATTTCATACTAATGACAACTTTTGCGTAAAGCCTTAATATAAAAAACAGATATTTTTCAAGTCGTTCACGTTTTTATTACATGTAAAAAAACAGAAACAATTATGCATTTTTATAGATTAATTAATATGTGTGAATAAAATTGTTATTCCAAACTCGAAATGTATGGCAAGCATGTATGTATGTATCTATGTTCGCGCCATTTTTTCTATAGGTACAAAAAAAATGGCGCGATTTCTATCTAGTCTATGGTTACCCTTAATAACCAAGTTCACAATTGCGGGAAGAGTTATTTAAACGAAATGTATAAAATATTTCCCAACATATCAATTTAGTTATTTTCAATCCTTTATTAAATAATCTCATTAATTTAATTTTTAATTCTTTTCCTTCTATAATGTAAATTGGATTTAGTATCTATACTATTTCAAAGATCGCAAACCCCACCAACGACTTCCAAACCGACTGCTAATCGATGTCAAAGCAAGTTGACTGAACACTATCTAAATTGTGTAAGAGAGATATTTAATGTCGTAAAGAATAATAGAAAGTAAAAATATTTGATGCGTTCATGAGGAAATAAATATGTTATTTACCTGTCCATCAAAATTTTGTTACTCAAAAACATGTAGACTATAAAATTAACATCGTCATAAAATTATTGCTGCAGGTTATACTATAAAATGATAATAAAAATATACCTAAATTATTATGTATTCCTTTGTCTACAGAAATGGAATTAGGGAAGAAAGAGTAATTTACTATTACTATATATTCTATTTTTATTAAACGATTGTATTCATTCCATCAAGGGGGTTACAAATATATAAATAAAATTGTAAAGTATATGTGTAATTTCAAATTGACAGCTGTTCACTAAGTACATATGAAAGTAATTAACTTACATCAAAAAACATTTTTAGAAGTGTTTGTTTTTGTGGATGATAATGGAATGGTGCACCCGTCTGCGCTAACGCTTTACGCTGGCGGGGCACATCCTACATCCTGTAAACCGCCGTGTGGTGGTATACAATTTACATGATGAGCTAACTGATCTGATTTCTTGCTCATACTGTCATTTTACACTGACTTTATCTCAATCTCTATCCCGCCAACGTATATCTTTGGTGCAGGAGAGAATACCATCAGAAATAAATATTAAATTATCAGTGAAATTACTAGTGCTTAGAGGCATTTTAACATCTCTACTATTAGAGACTTTGACCCAAACATAACAAATATGTATCTTTTGTTCCAGCTCGACCAATTCCACCGTTACCCTATCAGATAAACTGTGGCCCTCACCAGATCTTCAAAATCTGCGAGAATTGCGAAAAAACCTGCAGCAACCCGAACCCAATATGTCCTGCTCAATGTACCAGGGGTTGTTTTTGCAATGATGGCTTCTATAAGGCACCAAATGGAAGTTGTGTGAAACTCGAAGACTGTCCTGAAGGTGTGTACTGAGGCAAAATAGGTGAAATTAGATAAAATAAACCTAATTTCTAATTTGACCGAGTTGTACCTACTCCAGACGTAAGACCTTAAATGTAAGTCTACAAAAAGAGACAATATGCTTTTCAAGAAAACACTCTGATTATTCTTGCACATATAAAAACCTCGCGTCACATTGTTTGACCGGGAAATCTCCGAAACTACTAAACCAGTTTTTTAGAAATTGTGTAAAAGTTGGGACTAATTTTTGTGACCTTAATATAGGGTCAAAGCGACGCGGGGCCTCGTCTATTAGTAAATTATAGTACTCGTCTAATAGTAGACCTCATTCTGTTCTAGCTACCTAATCTAAATGAATTCATACAAGAACTTTTTTAAATCTACACACAAAATTTTATCCAAATCAGTCCAGCCACATAGGAGTTAGGAGATAAACACGAATACAGACAGAATGATTTATTGTATATTAAGACTATCCATTAATAATAGTATGATGGGCTTGATTTTAAATTAAAATTTTAATGGTTTTACATCCTTAGAAATTCCTCATTTATTTATATTAAATTTCTGTAATTGTTTGTTGTTTTCAATTATTGTTGAGATCCTAGAGTTGAATAATTTCGTCCTCTGCTATCTTGTTTATTTATTTAATATTATATTTGCCAAGTGCTTTAATATTTAATTGTATATTTATTTGTTAAACAACTATCCTTTGTAACAATTATGCTGTACTAAGATAAGTTATTTATTCTGTATTTAAAATATTTAAATAAATCGTTAATAATAATTTTGTGGTTTTTTCTTGTTTCTATTTAATCTCACCTTATATATCCATATATCTCACTATATATATGTAGGTACTTACATAATAATTTATATTTCTTATATTTATTATTAGTAACAAATATACAAAAAGTTTTCCTGACTTCATTTCATCCAAGACTAAGATATTTTTTATTAACCCGCTCCACACGTAGGGAATATATTAGCGGAAATTTATATAGAGTTGTAATTTTATATATACGCCAGCTGTCTCGGCAAACGTTGTTTAGCCATATAAACTGAAGAACTAATATCGCTACGAAAATATAGGGGTGTATGCATTAAAAATGCCGAATCATAAAAAAAGTTGTCCAATAAATGAAAAAAATATTTTGATAGTGCCACAACACTATTTAAGAATAGCAAAATATTGACAACATTAAATTTGTCTCCGATTAAAAAAAAAACTGACTATTGTTTGAGTTAATAAACATTTTTTTCTATTTGGCAATGGATCTGTATTGCCCTATATACTACGTACAATAGATGGAGAAACAAAACGGGTAATTAAATAGAAATTTAGGAAAGGATTATGAACTATAGTTACAGTTTTATTATTGATAAATGAAGCTAATGATTTATAAATAGAATAATCTGGAGCCAACATACATAAATTAGAAGTAGGAACTTTTAAAGTAACAAGTTAGTCTAGTCTATAAATGAGGTAGGTTCATATAAGGAACGGGCTCAATAAGCATTTAAGATAGTAACTTGACGTCTGATATTCATGATATTTTTTTTATTTATTTATTATATTTTACGGCTCTGGATACAAGTCCTTTTGAGCCTAACCTCATTCAGAAAATGTTTCCAGCCGAGGTAACCGTAGGAGATGCTCATGACACGTCCATTGATGACTGTCATCCGGACGAGGAGTTCTTATCGTGCGGCTGGTGCGAACCGAACTGTTCCCAACCTCAGCCCGAGTGCCCGCTGAAGATCTGCACAAGCGGGTGTCTGTGCAAGCCTCCACTTCTGAGACATTGGAGTGGACACTGTGTTGAAGCGAAAGACTGTTTGCCACGTAGGAAACCAAGTCATATTAATAATGTAACAAAAAAATATCGCAACTAATCCTAGCCACATCTACCTACATCTTTTGACGGTATCGATGGTCTAGCGATTTAGCACACCTAACTTCCAATGGTCGCGGGTTCGATTCCTCGTATGGTACAATCATTTCTATATATATTATGTGTATGTACAAAAAAATGTATCTATGTATTTATATCAGTTGTCTAGTACCCGTAACACAATCTCTTCTTACCTTGCGACTAGATGGCGCTGTGTAAATTGTCCAGGGTTATTATTATAATCATTACCTCTCCTATACCTCTGTTTGGATATTCGGTTTCGGTACTACTATTTACATACTACTATCAGTACCAATTTTGAAATTTCTTCTAGTCTATAACATCACACTACCACCAATAAGAGCTAGGCTGCGTGTGCTCAAAAAACAGGGAATATGTGATGCTTTAAGTACGATAGCATTAGGTATTATGAAGTACATAAGACTCAATTTACATCGGACATATATTGATAACATACTATTACCATTTTTTTTTTCTTAAAACTTCCTAATCCGTAATAATCATTAGTTATAAGTGATTGCATAAACGTAGACAAGTTGTCAGACCTTGTATTACGCGGCCGTGGTAATGAATTCACATAATTTCAATGAAGTAGTAACACTGACTTTTAGTTCGTTCTTGGAACCAGTCATCGTAGTCTCATTCGTAAAAACCCGTTGAACAAAGTTTCAGGAAATTATGTAATATTTTTGCTATTCAAATTCGTTTTAAAACTGCAGATTATGAGTCAAGTAAAAGAGAGGGCGCGACAATTCCGTTTTTACGTAAAAGACGAAAAAAGAGAAAAAGACGTTATACGCCTTGTTACCGTTTAGAAGTCCCATACCGAGAGCGTAATGAAAGTACCAAATCATGAAGTCGAGCGTACTCCAAAATATTTTCTATAAAACGATTTCTAAGTTCTATATTTTTAAGTTTGGATCATTACAACAAATCTAGTGGCTCAACTATTCTCGTAATCACCGTTGAACCACGGCGCAAGGTTAAACTAGAAATATTAAAAAAAAAACTATTTATTTTTTTAGAATTTTCGAAACCATAACAATGCACGCAGGATTCCTAAATATACTTACACAGTATACTCTTCTTGTTTTAGTGGCTATTGTTTCTCTTTCAGTTTACTTAAGTTAGTAAATTAATGTGATAGTACAAATTAATACTAATACTGATTCACCTAATACCAATAATTTGAAAAAAACTCGACTGGTGATGACTAGTATTTCAATAAAATAGATTTAGACAATTAAAAAAATATGGCTTCAGTTTGTCTCAACGGATCCCCGTATAGAACCTTGTAATCAAAAGATCTTATCTACATTCTGTTAGGTCAATAGAAAAATACTTGTAAATACAATACACTTCATGTGGGTCGAGTTTATTATGTCTGACATAAAAATAAATAGTTCCCGCCATTTGTGAAAAATGACATTACATTAATCAAACCTTTGCCAGGCCTCTGGAATGTCATAATTTAGCCTCTATTTAAAAAGCATAGATAAAGAGACATAAACAAAAAGACATTTTTAGATAATAGATTTTTTTCTGTGACTGTTGAGTTAAGAGAAAAATTATTGAAACTTATTATGGCACTTACAAAGAGTATATTTTATGATAACATAATTATGATACAAAATGTTGTTTTAAATATTTTCAGTATAGTAAAAAATATAAATACTTAGATGGTGTTACATCTAAGTCATCCTAAGCAATCTAAGTAAATTTTTACAACTTATACTTACCCATACCTGAAGAATAACCTAACAGTATTAATTTTTATACACAGTGATAAATTATTTTTATTATTTTGTTTATATTTTTATTATTTTATTGGAGATTCATTTACACCAGTTTATTGCGCTGTAAATTTATTTCCAATATTCCTTATGCCTATATATTTATATCAATGAACTTTAACTTTTATATTTTGCACCTTAATAAATATGTTTTTATAACTGACTGTAAAAATTAATACTTATAGGTAGATAGGTACAATATGGTACTAAATTTTTTAAGAGCTTTTTCGAATAATGGCTGTAATAAAATAATTACCGTTGAGGATTTTTTATTTGAAACATATTGCCCGTAATTATGTAAGCAAAAGTTTGTTTATAGCGGGTTCTTACTTGCGACTTCGTTCGCGTGGTTCGCATAAAATATATAGTAACATCACAGATAAGATAACATGTAAAATATACCTAAATTATATAATACCTATATTTTTATTTGCTCTATATTTGTATTATGGATCGTATATGCCGTACTATAAATTTTCATCAAATCCGTGCAGTCATTTTGGCGGGAAAGAGTAACAAACATCCATACTTACAAACTTTCACGTTTATAATATTATTAAGGTAAGATGCCATTGTATAAAAAAATAAAAATAAAATATTAGGAGTGCACAACCCTTATCAGTTAGGGGTGTGAAAAATAGATAGTAGCCGATTCTCAGACGTACTTACTGATAATTAATATTATTTTACTAATATTATAAACGCGAAAGTTTGTTATTATGAATGGATGTTTGTTACTCTTTCACGCCAAAACTACAAAATGTATTTCGATGAAACTTTACAGTAATATAGCTTATACATTAGAATAACATATATGCTATAATTTAAAAAAATATTATTTAAGTGTGATGCACACAAAGTTGTGCGGGTCAGCCAGCATTTCATAAAAATCGGTCAAGCCGTTACGGAGGAGAATGGTAACTAACATTGTGACACGAGATTTTTTTATATAAGATTAAAGTACAGACTTCAGTATTATACATCCTAAGGTATACCAATAATTTTAATTATTCTTTCAGAAAGATGTACGAAGCCACACGAAGAGTTTGTTTGTCGGTACGGTTGTGAGCCGAAATGTCAGAAACATGCATGTAGGGTACGTCCAACGCGTTGCACTCTCGGTTGCCACTGCAAATTGGGCCTACTGAGAGATTCTAGTGGAAATTGTGTAACTCCTAATAAATGTACGCAAGTTTCAAAAATAGAACGCAACAATCTGACCAGTCCTTTTAATGTAGATCTAAATAATCAATTGACTCAAATATATAATTTTAAATGAAATTGTTAATTATTTTTTATAATAAAATTGCTATTAAATTTGAACTGGTTATTTGTATTTATAATGTACAAGACACAAATATACGCAAATAAATAGATAGAAAAAGCCAAAAATTCGAGTGGAGATATTTTACTGTTATCTACGTCTAATAGTACCTAATAGAGTAGGTTTTTGTTCCTTTAGTAAGTACATTCTTATTTTTAATAAGAATCTTATTTTCTTCTAGTCCATTCGATGGTTATTTAAATCACAATGCATTAAATTAAGATAAAACACTGATTTCTCAGGTTAGGATTCAGACGTTAAATGTACAGTGCAAAGTTATAAAATTTAGTGTATAATTTATTGCTAGTTTCTTTTAAGAAAGAGCAAAATAAAGAAGTAGGAGTAGTCATAAAACGAAGATACAAAAAAATAATGGCAAAAATATGCCTCCCCGGCGGGGAATCGAACCCCGGTCTCCCGCGTGACAGGCGGGGATACTTACCACTATACTACCGAGGATTGATTGCTTAAATGTGAATTATTGTATGACTAGCTGTGTTGAACGGAAATATTTTTTTATATAGTTATTTTTTATGAATAAAATTAATTAAGCAATAAAATCAAACATTACGTTATTAGTAAGTATAACATTGTTAAATTTTATAGTCATAATTTCACATTATTATCATTGCCGGTTGTCTAAAACTATCTGTTAGTGTCAATGTCAAATATTGCAAATGTACTCTGTGGTGAAATGCTCCAAAAACAAAAATTTGCTTCTTATAAACACAAATATTTAATTAAGTTTACATTGATTAAAATTAATAATTCTTCACCCAACTATTAAAAAAATGTACCTAAACAATTTAAATTAAATAAAAGTATTTCTAAACAATGAGTGAAAAATTGAAAGAAGTCCGTGAGAGATCTCAGAAGAGAAAGAAATTGCTCGCTCAAACGGTACAACATAACCTAGAACTGCAATTATATTTCGCTTTTATCTGGAGACAATAATATTATGTATATTTCAGCTGGGTGTGTCAAGTGTTAGTGAATTGAGGCAGGCTTTGGGTGCTGCAATAGATGTACCTCCCAAACGGCAGGCGGCTTCAGAAACCGGTACTGACGGAAGTGATAAACCCGCCGCGAAAGATCAACCCGATGAATTAGTTTATACCGACTCTTCTACATTCTTGAAGGTATTCCATAAAGTTTATTTAGTGACCAATTATTATTAAATCAATTTAAATTAAAATATCTTTATTCATTTAAATCTGTTAAAAACTTCAAGTCTTTATTTAGTAAACTGAAATATACATGGACATTTTTGTTCAGTATGTCTTTGTATATAAAGGCTTCTAGTGTTTTCCATATCTTTTTCTCTCTAGCCAGTCTCATCCACAGTGAGTCACTGAATTTTATTATGTCATAAGCATTTTATGTGTGATCTTTTAATATTGTTAAGTAGGACTTATAATAAATAAAATCTACTGTTTTTTGGAATGTATTCAGAAGCGAGTACTGACAAGAAATTCAAGTATACAATGATGCAATAAATTTCTGTTTTTATAATATATTATATTATAGTTTATATAATTTCTGTTTCTGTCTGGTCATAACTTCCATTATAAGTATTTAAAAATAATGTTATAAACTTTTTAATATAAAGTGTTTTTAATATAAAAAAATATTTAAATTCTATTCTAGGGTACACAGTCCTCAAATCCTCATAATGATTACTGCCAGCACTTTGTGGACACCGGACAGAGGCCGCAGAACTTTATCAGGGATGTGGGTCTTGCAGACAGATTCGAGGAGTACCCTAAACTGAGGGAGCTCATCAAATTGAAGGATGACCTCATTGCCCAGACAGCTGCCCCACCTATGTATTTGAAATGTGATCTGAAGGTGAAACTTGTTATATATGGATTCACAAATAACTTGTTATGTGTTTTATGTACAAACAGTATATATAAACAAGAAATGTCATCATAATGAAAGAAGAGAGTTTGTTATAAATGTAAAATATAATTAGTCAAATTTCTATGTAATTGTCCGTCTTTTTCCTTGTTATATCTATCTTGTCAATTGTCTCGTCTGTCCTAGTCACGTCTTATAACTGGCCAGCAAGCAGTCCGGTCAAGGAGGCCACAACACATCATATTTATTTGTCTTCAAATTACACTGATGGTGACATTGTAAAATGACTGTGTGGTTAACCAGTATTACCTGGGGGGGAAGGGGATTGTTAGTAATGTGGATTGACAACCCCATTGATAACCATGTACTTTGTCAGCTCAACCTCCATGCGGTTCCCCCTGGAAACCATCGTGTTAAATTCCTGGTGAATTTATCACAATGGGCTAACTGACCTGACCTCATGCTCATCTTATCATCCTCCACTAGTGCCCCGCCAGCGTAAACCGTTAGCGCAGGCGGGTGCACCATTCCATTATCATCCACAAAAAAAACCAGTATTACCTATTTCAGCCGATGATCTTTCATATGGTTCCCCACCAACATGGTGTATGTTAACATGAGAGTATTAGAAAACAACCCTTAAAATAATAGTGTATTTTAATACAAAACATAGACGTATCTGTATTACTTATATAAAATACAATCTAAGTTGTTACTTGGCTAATATTTTTTTATTCCTATAAGAAATTACTAAATATGTGAAAGAAAAAAAGCTTTAAGCAACTGAAACATGTAACACCATATCTTGATCAAGTTGGTCAAAAACTTTTATATATTTCTTTATCTCAGTAAGATTATCAATTTTTAAAATATATGATTCCAGACATTTGACCTGAAGCAAATGGGTAACAAGTTCGATGTGATACTGGTGGAGCCGCCGCTAGGCGCCGGCTGGCGCTGGCAGGATGTACTGGCTCTCGACCTACAGCAGATAGCGCAGGCCAGGTCCTTCATATTCCTCTGGTGCGGCAGCTCCGAAGGTATTGTATAGTCCCATTGCATGGTTATATAGTTCAGAATTCATTCAATTATTTTTTCGTATTAATTTGTGGCTTAGGATAGAAATGCTATCTAGCTAGCCTAGTAACCTGTGTATTTAGGTACAGAAACAAAAGGTGGACTCAAGAATTAACAAAATGACTATGACTGGCAGGCAAACTTTGAGTAGGTTACATTAACATTAAAGAAAAAGCAGGGAAAAATTAGATGAGCTATAAAAAAAAAATCATTGGGCAAGTTGCAGGAACTCTGCATAACTTGCTACATGGCGCTATGTGAAATGTCCAAAGTTATTATTATTATTATTTTGTTGCTCCTTTCATACTAGTTATAAGTAGTAATTAACAGGTTTAATATATTTAACAGGTTTAGACATGGGCCGTGAATGCCTCAAGAAATGGGGATTCCGACGTTGCGAGGACATCTGCTGGATCAAAACCAACATAAAGAATCCTGGACACTCGAAAAACTTGGAACACAATGCAGTCTTCCAAAGGACCAAGGAGCACTGTTTGATGGGAATCAAGGGCACCGTCCGAAGGTCTGTCGATGGTGACTTTATTCACGCAAATGTGGATATTGATCTAATAATATCAGAGGACCCCGAATTTGGTAGTACTGAGAAGCCTATTGAGATATTCCATATTATGGAGCACTTCTGTTTGGGGCGAAGAAGGTATGTTATTTTATTTTAAATAAATTTAGTTTGTACTAGCCATTTCAAAGATTAACACGAACAAATAGACAGAAAACCAGACAGTTACTTTTATTTAAGTACCGTATATACTTTCATATGCTTTATATCTATAGATTAATTCATTAATTTAAGAGCTGCGCTCTTGTCGGTGGAGCTCTTGCCATTTTCCACGATCTTCTTTCAATGTTTTTAGTTGTTGATACGACACAACTCAAACTTTTCCTTAACTTGCTTGATATAGCTTTGTCTTGGTCTTCTAATTCTTTTTCCATCTATTTTTCCTTCGATAATATTATTAATAAGTTCCTTGTGTATATGACAAGAGTGCCCTAACATTTTCCCCCGCCTATATAGATTATGATTTATCCGCCATTCCATCTTAATAAATGGAATGGCGGTTGCACATGTGCTAATAGTATATACTAACGGGGAACCAGCGAAGAGTAAAAGGATGCGGTGAAGTTACAGAGGTACGGCGGCTTAGCCCTCAGGAATGTTAATGGATACCTTTTACTACGAGCGCCACATGATGAGGATATTCGTGCCGATGTTCAGGTATATAGTCGATGGCTTCATTTACCATATGGAAATTAAATGCCCACTCAAATTGTTGGCCAATCCAATGACATATAAAAAAGTACATACATTTTATCGATGTACATATATAATATGTTGTAAGTCGTTGACTTTACCATTTTTAATTAAGGGTGCGTCACACGATAGTTAACAACCATATGGAAATTAAATGCCCACTCAAATTGTTGGCCAATCCAATGACATATAAAAAAGTACATACATTTTATCGATGTACATATATAATATGTTGTAAGTCGTAGTCTGCACGCACAGCAGTCAACACTAGGTTTCCAAAATACATTCAATGCCTAATGATGCCTCGTTTAGAGGCAAACTACTTGTCGCAATATACATCCAATAACGTAATTTGATCACGAATAGGGACGGTAATACCGCTTCCAGTAGCTGTGTTCAGGTTTCCGCACTAAATATTTGTGGTGTCATACATGCTAATGGTTGCGGAGTTAAACAATATATAATTCATTAAGTCTATATATTATGCTTTGAATTTCAGAATACATCTCTTCGGACGAGACTCCACCATTAGACCTGGCTGGGTGACCATCGGGCACGAATTGACAAACTCGAACTTCAATGCAGAGCTATACGCATCCAACTTCACTGAAGGCAGGGAGAGCACTGGTTGCACGGAGCGAATAGAAGCATTGAGACCTAAGAGTCCGCCCAACACCAACAAAGGGGCTAGACCCAGAGGAAGAGGCGGGTTTAGAGGCAGGGGTAGAGGAAGAGCAGCGATATAGTAACATACGTGCATAAAGGAATGAATAGTAATGTGAACTAATTACTCCATCGCTAGCAATGTACCTACCAAGTCAGGTTGACCTTCATGCGGTTCCTCTAAAAACCAGTGATAAATTCCTGGTGAATTTTTCACGATGGTCCAACTGACCTAACATCGTGCTCATCCTATCATCCTCTACTGGTACCTCGCCAACATGAACCATAATCGCAAACGGGCACACCATTCCATCATCATTCATTAAAATATATATATATATATACATATGTACATACAAACTACTAAGGTAGTCTTTGTACAATCTTACCCATAATACCATGTATAATCTCACATTGTAAGAAGCCCTTGATGTTAACTGAGATCACTTGAATGTGGTTTTAGATTTGGGTTGACATTGTGTTGAGAGAATTGGCTAGGCTAGACCATGTCTAGGAGTTATCGCCTCTGGAAGGCTCCTATTTTTCACCCAAGTTTATTCAACCAGCCAAACACCTGCGGGCAGGTGTTAGGTTGGTTGAATAAACATGGGCCGACCTACTCAAAAGGCCGGACCTACTATAGCCCACTTAGAAATCCCTTTATAGACTGCGAACACAGGAAGGCCGCTGTAGCTATAGTGAGATGGGGTATTGCTTCAAGGGAGGCTTGCGACTACGGAGTACCTAGACCAGCCCAACTACTTTTCTGTCCTTTGTGTCCATCATCCTGCACAAAAATGCGACCGAATGCGCTAAAGTTGTCCAACATTCCGGTGTAAATACATATAGTTGCCATTGAACCGAAGGAAGACCCATTTTCACAGCAAAATAGCTTGCTTCGTAAGCTATTTCTGAATAGCAGGGAAACGACTAAGTGCATGCCGCTTAGTCGTCATGAATGGCTGTACTGCCGTCAAATTGATTTTATATTGTCTGTGGTACTGTTCATGTTATATAAATGATGCGATAATTGTACTCCATCCCGTAGATTGTTTGCCATTCGAATTTAAAAACTCTACATAATAAATAAAAGGCCAATACAATCATACTCATAAATACAAATGTTTGTATCGTGCGAGCAATCGAAGCCTCGACCATCGGAAAGTAAGGCGGTGTGCTAAACCGCTAGACTATTGCGTCATTACATGGATAACATAAAATAATAAACTATATAATGTGTAAAGAAACATTACACTGTACCTATGTATAGTATTATAATTCTAAGTATTTTCTGACATCTGTATGACTGTAACATTAAAGATTTTTTATATATGTTGGAGATTTAATTTCCAGTCATTGTGACTGTTTTTTCTATCTCTGTCTGTAAATTTTTTAAAGATTGTAAATTAACTTTCTACTACTCGTCTTGATTGGTTGGAGTGGGGTAGTTATCTGTTGGACTATATAATGGGTTCGTAATTTCTTTATTATTAAAAAGAAATTAATGTGCATTCTTTTAATGAATATAGAATAATCTATCTCCGTTGTAAAGTACACTCCTGAGGAGATAAAAACCACGGTGGCGAACTTTGAAAAAGGAGCACAGCTAACTTTGAAACAGGTTTTAATGGCAATAGGAACGAACGCCTCAATAAAGAAATATTGAATATTTATTTTATTAACTTGAATAGCATAAAACCAGACAATCCACTTGGTGCTAAGTAGCAATCGTCGTCTATATACATAAGTAACGCCAAGGATATCACGTCATGATATTCTACATGCGTTGCCATTCAGGACGACTAAGTTATTATGTAGCCTAAAATTTTACTGGCAGGTATATCTCAGCTCCCATTCAAAAAAGCTTCCAAAGAAACTCCTCTGGAGCTGAAACGGTTGAGGCAAAGATGTAGAAACTTTTTAAAAAATAGTCTAAATAAGTCTGGAGTAGTCTTGCCATTACAAATAATATAAAGGTGCCTGGGATTTCGACTGTGTACCGTATTTTAAATAGATACGGCTTAGTAAATTCTATGGACTTAGGCCTATTGCAAATGAAACACCATAATTATATACATCAATATATTTTATTTTACATAGGTTGTCTTTAATCACTCGACATTGCCATAGTTCCTTCAAAATATAAAAAAGACAAAACAAATATAAGACTTATGAGATCTTTTACTTACTATAAGAAAAATTTACATATTGTTGTGGAACTAATGTTTCTTACGATTCATAAAAAAGTTTTATATTCCTTTTTAATGCGGAGAGGGCTTTACTAGTATCTGTGGCGGCGAGAATAAATCATTGAAGTAATTCGTGTCACACCATTTCTAAACTATATCTAAGAGTCGAGACTAGTTGCACCATCATCTAGAAGGAGAAGAAATTTACTTGTGAAATAACACTCTGTGACAGATTTATATCCCGTAAATTCATGGCGCTCCCGAAAACCAGGTTACACGTCTGTGGGCCTGTCTACAGGGTTGCCAACCTTAAAACATTTAGCCTCGTATGAATAAACAATCTGACAAAATCTCTTTTAAAAGCACAAGTGGCTCTAACGAGGATTTTCGTACGACTGGCAACCCTACCCTGTAGGAGCGTCACAAGTAAGGTTACGGGCTATAACATTTCACTTAATTACTAGACAGAACTGAATGCTAATATCAATACATAGCTTACATTAAAAGTAATCGTTCACAAAGTGTTATAACATTATGACATCGTATTTAACTTCTAATTTACATGAAACCTTGCAACACATTCAGGCCAGGGTCAGATTAGGAAATGAGAAACTCAGCAATTCCAAATTCGTTAAACCTTTACATTACATTCTGCCTTAAGCCTCGTCTCGAAATTCGTGTGACCGTAAAGCCGGCGCCTGACATAGCTTCAAATAAAATTTATAAGACGCGATAATAAGTATTGTTTTCAAATATTGGACAAACATTTGCACTTTCGTAACGTATCCGTTTATGAACGCGTACAAAGTTCAAACGTGAACGTAGCGATATACATTTGCGCAAAATCGGAGAGCAAACATGTTTTGTAAACAGATGTTGGCACACTTCCGTGCCAATATTTGCTCAAAGATTTACAAAGGTGTTGAAGTATTTGAAGCTAGTCAGTGCAAATCAGTTAACACAATACAATTGTCTAGTCCCGAGCACCAATTTAGTGAACACAGATGGTAGGAACCGATAGGAAACAACGTTAGGTCGATCCAATTGGCGGCACAGACAATTGTATCGTGTTACACAGTAGCGATAAACTGCTTATGTTAATGCCCTCTCTTATCAAATCACAATACATTACAAACATTTCCTCGTTGATGACCTTTAAGCCAAAACATCTCTACTAACTTCAGAAGACACTTAAAATATATTTTTAAGTGTTCTTCAGTACCTACGCCAAGAGACGGCGCTAGTGAGACTTTCGGTTTTCATTTTATATCAAGCATCGGCTAACTTGTCGGTATAAAAATAAAATACAATTATGAAGTCTCAATAGCGCTATCAATTGTCGAATTTCTTTTAGCCTCGCGCTAAAACACATCTATAATCATTAATCACATATAGTGACGTCATTCGGAACCTTATACGACATTAAGTAGTGTGCAGGCCTTCTGGACAAATCGCAAAAGAATCCACTAGATTCTCGTCTACCGCCAATATAAAAAAAAAGTATGCGACGCAGGTTATCCCTCTTTCTTATGCGTGCGGTAAACGTATTTACACTTCATTCCAAATACAAAATTTCGTTAAAATTAAAAAAAATCTCATCCCAAAACCATAGTTGCATGTCGTTATAAAATATTTTCGTATTTGGAATGCAGTGTATATATCTACGTGTGCCACTTGTGAAGAGAGCCAGACCAGACTATAATAACATTCCATTAGTGTTAAAATGTGTGGGATTGACATTAACAGTCCACGTGACTATTCTTATACAATTTAACATCAATCTCATACATTTCCATTAGTCCATTGACTATACCGCTAACAGAATATTACATTCTATACAGAAGCTCCCCCAGACAAGAATCTATCAATATCAAATGAATGACTACCACACGCGTGAGATAAAACGAGACAGCAATATCGGATGTCTTTTTTTATCTCGTACGTCCTGACGTGTCGATTATACATAGACTCGTTTATCTAGGAGTGCAGGCCGCCGAGACAAAGGACATTTCTATTGACGATATCATAGTTCCACTTGTATGGATTTCACATAAGTAACTTAGTTTAATCTAAACTTTAACTTTTATTTCGAACCATCCTAATGCTGTTGGCTGCAGATGGTCTTTACAGCTTCACCGGACTATAGGGAGCAAGTGCAGATGGCACGCAAACCCGCGGAAGGACTTATGGAGCAGTTGACGGACAACTCCTGCGTAACGGATATGACTTTAGTCTGAGGGCACCGCTAGGGGTACGAACTCCAGCTGAGGTCGTCGTAATTCCAATACAATCATTGTAATTTATTTTTTAACAACTTCACTTACTTGCGTCAATCCTAAATAATTCGTAGTCCCGCTCAAATAGCGCCTAAAAATTTAGTGAGATAAAGGGTGTTCCAAATTTACTCTACTTTCATTTTTCCATTTTTTTGTATTAGAACAAACCAGGGTCAAATGAATTCATTGAAGCATATAAAAATACTATTCTAGACAAAGTTATGTTGAATTATGAAGTCAATAGTATATTTTTTAATGTGATTTGTTTTCACACAATTCGAACTGAGATGCGATTTGTAGTTTTGTTGTAAAATCGTCAATAGAAGTGTAGTCTTGTCTACAGGCTGGTGTGTTCCCGCCCCATTGCAACCGTTCGACCGCACCAATAAAGCCCTTTACGCCTCTACACTGCACCGCAATTGACAGTATCCTTTACTGAGCCCTATCTTTATATCGCGCATTGTCTTATTATATTACATAATTCATTGTGTTATATTTATTATACAAGGCATATTCTTTCATACGCGCCGCCCACGCAGCCATTGTTATTCACAAGGATTTTATTATATAAACAAAAATAATAGTTATAGCTGACACAATGATACATAATATCTTAAAATTCATAAAAACGTAAAAATATCAATAAACCTCTTTAAAAACTGCAATTTGTGAATGTAACGTAGTAATAAAATACACCTTTTATTATTACCAGGACAGAATGTATTACTAGCTCTTCGTCCCCATTGATAAAATTCACTGTTCCCTATACTAGAACAACAGGAAAATCATAACGGCAATATACCCTTAAAATGAAATGTTTACACAGCGTAATAATAGTAGATTTATATCTTCATATGGGGGAAATCCGTGTCTAACTGACTCTAATTATTATTATTTTTTAAATGATAGTTTAGCTCTAAAACAGACGAAAACGTGTATAGGTTCATTGCCCCTTTGACGTTTTTATGAATAATAACGATATTGTCTAAAATGTAAAAATTAATTATATATATAAACTGTAAAAAAATAGGATCGTTCGACTGTAATTAATTTAAATTTATCATAGTATAAATTTAATTCTGTCAACAAATATGCACCACATACCTTGAACAACAATAAAAACAAATGATAA